CGCCAACCAGGCCTCACAATTACCGCGCTTCGGGGTGGGTGGGGGTGTAGGTTTCTTCGCTCACAACGGCGGCAAAAGAAGACTAAGCGTAATACACGAAGTCAGCGGATACAGGGAAATCGGCTGGAGATAGGTTCGTGCTTGGTAAAATTACCGCCAAGCCGACCAAAGGTTTGGTACCCAGGCTACTGGATAGGCGGGGCTGGCAAAAAAAGTTAAACAGTAATCTCCAAGCAGATGTCATGAGAGACGCCCTCCTAAGTGGGCCACTGTCATTCATTTCGGACATTCCTCCGAACTTGCCCCCGAACACCAGCCGACCAAGGTCAACTCAAGTTCGGGAGTCTGACCAGATTTTGGTCACCTTTCTATGCGAATCGAATTTGAGTTAGATTTCAGTAAAATATGACTTCCGAACACCTGCCAACCTCCAGCCAGATATGGTCGAATCTCCCGTCCACTCCCGAATTAATTAAGACATAAGAACACTTTATTAGCATTGACAGACTCACGAAAAATCTGAATTTATCAGTTCTGACTTCTGAGTGCAATATAATCATTTATATGTTGAAACGATAACTTTCTACTTGACTGTACATTATATGAAGATGAACGCCAAGAGCTATTCGATACTTTACAATTACAATTAGACAAGATATGTAAGAAAATGTCAAAGCAGGACACGTTTAAACACTTGATGTCATGCAAGAACAAATGTACAATAGACAAGCTATGTAATGATGTTTCCAGATGTTTCAAAAAGAGAGAAGAAAGGGCAACTATAACTATAACAGTAGATGATAGGTAGTATATAGTATTGTTGTAATATGTAGACTCCTAGCATTAGAATATAGCGTTCCAGTATGCAATGCCCATGTTTTTATCCTCTCGAACACATTTGGTCACATTTGTGCATTTAGCCCATCTGGGCAAGAACATGCAATAAAGATTCATACTATTATGATATAACGTTATATGTTCAATGCGTGTAGGAACGTCCTTTGAATTGTTATACATGTATGTCAGTCAGACTCGTCCAAATTGAGTCTTGTAGGAGATCTCGACGTTTTGCGACGCCGTGTATCTGGACTCCGTCTGGCGTAATGGCGTCTGCCGGCGTCCTCCGTTGATCCGAGGACTTCCTACATGGCCTACGTCAACGTGTTTTAGAATCGAAATTTTGTAACAGAGTGTAAACTATACAACAAAGAGAGAGAAGATCTTTATAATCTGATACAAACTATGTTCCTCATCTTCATACATCTAAGTTGTACAGATAAATCTATATTACCTTTTTTCCATTACTAAGAAACGCGAAGAAACCGAATTAACTAAATTGTAGCTACTTAACGATGTATAGATGTAACGTTATCTATATTCCATCCTTTCGTTGTGACCTGTACTTAACCCTGTGGGTATATGTGTACAATAAAGGTGTTCATTCATTTAAACATTTTGAAACATTCGCCGACCAAGGTCAACAGAATTTCCCGCCATCAATATCTCGCCCCTCCCCTTAATGAAATCCCTGTTGCCGCCTCTGCTGTCAAGAGACAGAGTCAAGACAAGACAGCGTTCAACTAACACTCACTAACAGTATTAGGCCACAGCAAGTAAATTTTATGGATGACATCCCCCGCAGACTCCAAATCTTATGCGAGTGGGCGAAAAAAACGCGGGCCGAAAAAAAACAAGGTTCCTACATTTTAAAATTTTGACTCAATCATTCTACAAATGGTTTTAATTCAGTGGCAACATCACATATACACAGCCAGCATCACATATCACTGCATCAAAGCAAGAAACAAAACATAAAATCAGAGCCTTTTCTTCTCTCCTCTCTTCATACTTAGGCCATGTTGATTTGATTATATGGATGACATCCGCGCGCGCATGAATTTTCGGCCGTTTCAAAAAAAAAAAAAGTTTTCAACCATACTGTAAATCGTGCAAAACAGTTGCTAAATGAGCAAATATATACCATAAGTTGCAAGGAAAACATTTAGAAACGATACCAATGTCATAGAATGCCAAAATCAAAGGAAAAAAGAATGTAAAAAAATGTAAAGAAATGAATTCGAAGAGTAGATTATTCGCCATAACATATTCTGTGCCATTTGTTCAACCTTCAGAACCACGTAGATTTCATAGTGAAAGCAACTTTTTTTTTTGCAAAACTTTTTTTTTATTCGCACGCGCGCATCAGTTTTGGGGTTCCCAGAGGATGTCATCCATATAATCAAATCAACATGGCCTTATCTGCCATCCACTTTCGGCATGGCAACAGACATTTTCAGCATAGTGGCCACTTTTAGAAGGCAACAAAATTACTTGTTTCATTTTCCCAAATCAGGCGAAAATTAATGCGCGCTGGTGTCATCCATAAATATTGCTCGCTGTGGCCTTATAAACACGATATGGTGAAGAAAATTCAAGCCCACATTGTGGTTGGCTGTGGTTGTGTTCGGGAGGCCATGCTCGGCTTTTGTGTGACAGGGGCTGCAGCCTACCCGTCTGTGGATAAAGCGATGGCAAATCAGCACCAAGGACGGACACCCTTTATATTACTGAGCGTGTACCGTTAAAACAAGTCCTGGCCGCTCATCTGCTTGGAGATTAGGTCTAACCAAGGAAGTACATGTAGGTCTAATGTTACACCCGTCACATGATAAGGCACGACTTGTATTTGTCACTCACGACACGCAATAAATCAAGTCTTGGTTTGTGAGAACCGCTATCCGCTCAGATCACGTACGGATTGAACAGAGAAGTTACGTCCAATTTCTCACGATAAAACACATCGATAGGAATAACGGGAAAGTTCATAATTTCTTTTGAACTCCCACTGGACGCCGGGCCCCAGCCCAAAAAGTGAGGTCTCCGAATCAAAGTTTCCGCCCTGTGAAAGTTCCCCGTAGCCCCTCCCACCGCGGGCGGTGCGGCGCCAGGTTGGCTCGGACGGCCTGTGTCAGTGTGTGCAGTCGGTGTGTCAGTGTGTGCAGTCGGTGTGCGCGGGAGCTGAGAACACAAGTCAGCCCTTCTGTCAGCTCTCTCTCAGGAGATCATTGCAGTTTTCCCAGCCGACATTCAGTAACGTCAGATCCCTTGCTTTAATACAGGTACCTAGGTAGGTGACTTTTCTTCACCATATCGGAGTGTTACCGTAATACATGTAATTGTTCTTGTCTTGAGTCTCTTGATAGCAGAGGCGGGCAACAGGGAGGGGCGAGATTTTGATGGCGGGAATGTTTAGAACACGTCCAAAAGAAACCTCTGCTTGGATACAAGTGGACAGCTTTAACTCTGAAGCTGACACTAATTTTTATCTCAACAGCTAGCATGCCCGTAGCCAGGGGAGGCCCAAAGGTCCACTTTTTATCTAGTAAAGGTCTAAGATTTTTCTTTAGAAGAAGGACAGATTTGTGTCACCAGAGTGGCTTGAATCATAGAAAAACTGCTCACTTTGTCATTGAATAAAAAGTTATTTTTGTCTTTGAAATCCTCTCAAAAACGCCGGGAATGAAAATTCAGAAGGTTCAGTTTTCAAAATTTTCCAGGGAAGCATGCCGCCGGATAGCTGTGGCAACTCTTGATTCGTAAGCCCGAATCAAGAGTTGCCACAGTTAGCCGCCGGATTGTGCCAACGGCACTCGCTGTTCTTGCAGACTGACACACAGTGATTATTCCTGCGAAGCTGTGTTTATCGATCCATAATTTTACTCTACTAAGGCCACACCAATTTAATTTGTTGTTTCTCGAATTTCCCGTCCATTTTTTTCTGATTTGCAAAAAAAAAAAGGTTTTAGATTCTGAATCAACTGCAAAAAGCTCAATGAAAGACATATTTTGGCCCCAATGGTTGAAGAAAGTCCTTTTCTTCCTAGTTGTTCACAGTTTTTCAATGTAAACTGCAACTTCGTTTCATGACAAGTTCAAAATCTATTGTTTTAAATTATAAACCAGGCTGGTATGTTGACTTCATGGCTCATATCGTAACATTTCCAGCCTTCATGGGGTGCCATGGCCTCTTTTTTTTTTCGCCTCGTTGCTTCATATTTTCTCTTAATAAATCTGAGAAACAACAAATTAAATTTGTGTGGCCTAACAGGTATCTAATGGTCTACATTAATAGTTTAACACTTAGGCCACACCAATTCAATTTCTTGGTTAACGGATTCGCCTGCTTCATTTATTTCAGATTTGCAAATAAAAATAAAAATCCAGAATCAACTGCAAAATGCTCATATTTTGCCCTGAACAGTTGAAAACAGACCTTTTCATCCTAGTTGTTACAGTTATTCCATCTTTCAATGCAATGGTATCATTAAAAGTTCAAAATTCATTGTTTAAATTTTGAACCAGCCTGGTGTGTTGACTTCATGGCTCTTATCGTACCATTTTGGGCCATAATTTTTATTAATAGGATGCCTAGGCCTGTTTTTTTTTTTTCGCCCGCCCGCTCCATTATTTTTCTAGAAAAATCCGTTAACCAAGAAATTAAATTGGTGTGGCCTTAGTTACAGAGAAAGAGTTAACGTATGTCTACTAACTAAGATACAATACAGATGAGATACAACTACAAGCTGTACATTCAACAGAGCGCTACCAGAGGCGGCGGCAGGAAATTTTGATTGGGGGGGCAAGATTTCGGGCGCCGAAGGCGCCCGTCAGCGAGCGCCGCAGGCGCGAGCCTACTAGGGGGGTCCGGGGGCATGCCCCCCCGGGAAATTTTTGAATTCTAACCCCTCTGAAACGCTATTTCCAGCATTTTGAGCCCTACATTTTTGTTTTATTTCAAGCTAAGTTTAATGCTCCTTCTAGAGTTTCGTCTATGAATTCTTCCATATGAAACAGAACCGAACGGTCATTGTGTGTCATTTAGGGAATAATGGACTGAGTAAACCTCGTTTGGGGTACCAAAAATATAGCTCCTGAGTAGGTAGAGGCGGCGGCAGGAAATCTTGACCGTCAGTGGGGGGCGAGATTTGTATGGAACCCACTATCGAGCGCCGAAGGCGCGGCGGCGAACCTAGAGGGGTCCGGGGGCATGCTCCCCCGGAAAAAATTGAGATTTTAACCCTCTGAAACGTGTTTTCCTGCATTTTCGGGGGGAAATTTTGCTGCTACATGAAGCTAAATTTCTAGTACTTTGTAGCTAAGTTTCTTACTCGCTATTCGACTGTATGACGTCCACGAACTTCTTCCACAATACACAAGGGGGGTCGGGGCTTGCTCCCCGGGAAAATTTGAAAATCTCGACCCTCTGGAAACGCCATTTCCTGTATTTTGGGAACGCATTTTTGATGTTTTGCTGGGTACACATTTCGTCTAATCGTCAATCGAATCTCAGTTCGCCTCAACCAAGGACATTACAGAAGATTTCTTAGTAGGACATTCTAAGATCTGACAAAAATTGTTGAGCCAGTCCTTGGTTTAATTAAAATTTAATACCTTGTATGGTTTACTCTCATCGGCTCCGGCGGGAAATTCGAGCGGCGCGGTGCGGGACCTGAGCGGGAATATCGATGCATACACGATTCTACACACGTGAAAAATGCTGTTGTGCTGTTGGGAAGGGCACGGTGTGCCGCGAAAATAAACTGCATGCATGTTGTCTTCAGAAGAACTGGATTTCATTTTTACCGATATCGTTACAAAGGGGTCAGCAGAACAAACTCTCACAGCGTGAGAAACTCGTGCGATATCCCTAGTAGTACGTAATGCACAGCAGATAAACCAATCAGAGCGCAGGTTTTCGGGGATGAACCAATCAGAGCTTACAACTCGCGGTAATACCTACATGTAGAAGACGGTGTTGGTGTGATTTCAGATTTCAAGTGGCCGCGCAGCGCGGAAAATGCGTCTTACAAGTGGTTTTAAGGTAGAAATCGAACTGTTTGCTGGCTTTTCCTTACATCTAGAGAAAATACACTAGAATTTCAGCATGATTTTTGGGGGGGCGACGCCCCCCCAATATTTTTTTTGGGGGGG